ATTTATCACAATCTCTGTTCAATATATATAGAGTGAATGTGACTGATATCTTATAATTATTTATCACAATCTCTGTTCAATATATATAGAGTGAATGTGACTGATATCTTATAATTATTTATCACAATCTCTGTTCAGTATATATTAGAGTGAATGTGACTGATATCTTATAATTATTTATCCACAGTGACTAAGATTTGATTAGAACTGAATTAGTTCTCTTCCAGCCTAAGTGAAAATAAAATGAGAAAATTATAGTATGCAATGTTATAAAATATATATAAGTATCATTTAAGTATTGAAAAATTTGTTTAGCAGTATGGGCAAAACTTTCTATGTTTAGGTCTCACCAAGTATATAAATTACCTTATTGCATATCGAAAAGACATACGATTCTCAATACTTGACACGCGATTTTTCATGAACATTAAATTAGAAAAAAATGAAAGAACAGTAATTTAAGCTATCATCATGAGACGCATAGTGGGTCAGAACAGAAAAGAATCGCAAGTTTTCCTGTAGTCGTCCCTGATGCCTTTTAATCACTCGCATTTGTGGTCATTGATCTATACTCAGGTTATAATGATTTTTTTTTATTATACTTTAATAGATCATCAATACTTTAGTTTGTTTTGCTGTTAAGCGCAAAGATGCATAATGAGCTATCATCATTATGCTCATCGCAGGGACCGAGTCCCATATTTTTAACGCTGAGCCGGGAAGGAGGGAGGTGACTTCTCCATAGACAGTTAAACCTTAAAAACGTCTAATAATTCCGTTTTGCTCTAAAATTGAGTGGATAAAAGAAAGGCTTTAACCTGAACAAGTAATTGGTCACGGTCAAACAGATGCAAGACCTGGGTCATCTTATCTATCAAGGATCACCTGTTTTATTTTTTTTATTCGTTGTGGGAATCATTTAATGGTGACGAGTGTGAAATTTTAATCTGACCTTAACTTAAGACATGTATGAAAGGGACATTAAAACAGAAAGAATCTTACATGCTTCGTCACTTTACTGTGCCCCCCAGTAGCACAGTGGTATGTCTGCGGATTTACAACGCTAGAAACCGGGTTTCGATACTCGTGGTGGGCAGAGCACAGATAGCCCTTGTGTAGCTTTGTGCATAAATAAAAAAACAAACAAAAACAATCACTTTACTGTAAATGATAAAGGCTCGTTATTTATTTTTAAAAAAGTGAGTATCGGAAAATACAAGATACTACCGTCTAGGATGAAACTGCTACGCAGGTGTGTGGAAAGGTGGATATTGTCACGTTCTTGGTAATGCATGTAATACAATAATAGAAAGCACGAGGTCCACGACTGCATTTAAACACGAGGTCACTCGTGATTGCATGACAACACCACGTGTGAAAGTAATGTACTCAGCCAACCTCAACTGTACAAAAGCATATCATTTTAAAAAATTCATTCCGTAATTAGCTGTCATGATATTGGATTTGCTTGTTTGTTATGAATTTCGCGCAAAGCTACACGAGGGCTATCTGCGCTAGCCGTCCCTAATTTAGCAGTGT